TCCCTGCACTGCTAAGAAAACACTCATTATGAACTCCAAGATACACACCGCCCTTGCTTTGTAATTGATATGTTGGCGAAAATGCGGGCTTTGTGAATCCAGTCATATTTTACCTCCACGGTGACGGGGAAGCTCTCATGTACAGTGGTGGTGAGAGAACCTCATGGGTTTTTCCATCTGGTTGCAGTGGAGACGGCATTAAGAAGGGAAACAGCGCTAGCCATTGCCTCTTGAGGCTAACCAGTGGTTAAGCTCTTCAGAGAGCTGTGAGAGATGGAGCAGAGACACGAGGATCTTCTGTTCTGGGTCCACTACAGACCGACGGTACCATACAGGTACACAGAGCAGCACTCAAGGGGCCTCTGCCAGCCTCGGTTCCTTCTGGATTTGACTCATCCTCCTAGTCATCCTGTAGTCTTTATTATCCACTCATTTAGATGTAAGGAATCATCACCCATGCACATGCTAAGATCCAGGGTGAGCCCATGTGAAATGGGGGACAAAGGAGTGGCCTCTGCCGTTGCCAACATAAAGCCCGTGAGTTAGTTGGCAGGTTATGGGAGACGTGTGAGCCTAATACAGCATCATTTTTTTTTGGGGGGGGGGGATTGTTTAAATCTTAACTGTTTGAACTAACCTTGCTACTGTGCTACAAATACTTCCTAAGTTTACGCTTTAATAACTATCGATTTTATAATAAACTTTGAGAAACTAAGAGTTCCCTGGACTGGGAAAGAAATGTCTTACGTGAAAAGAAGCAATTCCTTGGACTAGTGCTGTGCAGTACACTTCTTCTAGAGCAGGGACTACCCTGGGCTGTGGCTGAGAGTGGGAAATCATGGGCACGGGGACTAGCAACAGAGAGGCTGTCCCAGGCCAAGTCTGCAGGTCCCTGCCTGCCCCCACTGCCTCTGGTTCTCTGGACATCATGATTTGGAGTTAAGTAAATGAAAGTGGACATTCCCAGGTTGAGTGAGAGCTGTGAGGCATGCCTGTAATCCCAACACACTCAGGAGGCTGAGGCAGTCAGATTGCAGCGAGTTCAGGGACAGCTTGGACTGTATAGTGGGAACTTGTCTCCTGAATCAAAACGCAACGTAATAAAAAGTAGTACACTTATAACGCAGATATATGCAATGGCAACACACACACACACACACACACACACACACACACACACACACACACACACACACACACACACACACACGGGGATGCTGAACTTTAAAGAAACGGGAAGCCAACGAGAGCTCCAACTTGAATCACATTGCTCATCTCAAAGCTCCCAAAGTTGCTAGGCTTGCAATCAGAACTCTTTCATCTGGTCTTCAGAAGAGTTCTGAATTCTCAGGGAAAGGGTTTGAGCATAAAAACTCAGGCCGGGGATGTAGCTCAGTGGTAGAACACTTGACTTGCATCTGCAGAGCCCTGGGTTCAATCCCCAGCACCACAGAAACAGGACAGGCTAGCAACTATGAACATCTTTTGTTAGGCTGTCTGACTGAGCAATAACAGATGCATAACATCTGGTTTTAGCTGGTCCCTTTCCAGCACTGGCATCATCTTTTGAGTAAAGTTCTGCTGCTGTGAAGAACATGGGTCAACTAGCTAGCCAATGGCAGTCCCACTTGTTATCTGTGAGATGGTTTTTCCTGTTGTTGTTTGTTTTTTGAGACAGGGTATTACTATGTAGCCCTGGCTGGATTAGAATTCCCTATGTAAACCAGGCTGGCTTTGAACTCTCAAAGATTTAACTGCCTCTGTCTCCTGAGTGCTGGCATTAAAGTTGTATACCACCATGCCTAGCTCATCTACAGTTTTGGAAGATTTATTTATTTTATTTATAATTTGTGTGTGTGTGAGGGTGTGTGTGTGTGTGTGTGTGTGTTATGTGAGTTTATGTGCACCATGCGTGCAGGTGCCTAAAGAGGCTATAAGAGTATGTCAGATCCCCTGCAACTGGAGTTACAGACAGTTAGGAGCCACCGAGTGGATACTGGGAATCCTGGTCCTTTGCAAGAGCCATTAAGAGCTCTTAACTGGTGAGCCACTCACTGTCTAGCCTTCCACTTGTCATCTATTTTATAGTCCAAGTTTCCCTGTAGAATATAAGGAACAGGAGGGCAGCTTTAGCCACTCCAAACTACTCCCATCTCCATACCACTTCATAGAGCCTCCAGAAAGGTCCTAGCTCCGTAAGAAGATGAAGAAATGAATGGGTATCCCGGAGGCCAAGGTGGGCAAGCGCTTGCCTTAGGAAGCCGCTGGAATGGCGGGCTGACTGGTGTGGGACTGGAGGTTTTACCCGCTATGGCTAAGGAGGCGTATGGAGGGGAAGGCAGAACATAGACACCCGGGGGAACGAGAGACGACTAATAATATAATGAAATTTCTCGTCCCTATGGCCAGGGGTTGTTTGGCATACTTCTATAACAACCAAGTGGTAAATGTTTTCAGCTTTGTAGCCCACAGGGGTTTCTTGTGCAGTGACCAGCTTCTATTTCTGTGGAGTACAAAACAACCACACAGTATCAGTAAATGGGCTTTGGCCTATCTGTATCTCCATATAATGTAATGTACAAACAATAGAATGTGAGTTTCATGCAATTTCCACCTCTCATGAAACATCTCTCTCTCTTTTCCCCCAACCACTTAACCACCTTTCTCAGACTATGAGGTCATGCCCAGTATCTACAGTTTGCTAACTCCTACCAAGCTCCATGCATCAGTTATATCAGCTCTTAAGCTGAGAAGAAATGGGATCCACAGAACCATCTGACAGCAACTGTCCATCAGAACACTGTGGCTGACTGACAGCCACTGTCCATCAGAACACTACGGCATCCCAGGGAGGGATCCACCACATAGGTTGGCTAACTTCCAGCCAAATCATCTTTGTTTTCTCTCACCCCTGAAAAACCTGCCTTTGGTTTGATCAAGGCTGAAGGCTGTAATCTCAGAACACACGAAACCTGCAAAGAGTCCAGTATTCCTCTTCTACATGTCTAGTCCTAGGCCACACCCACCAAAAATCATCAGAGGAGCTGCCAGGAGATAATAGCCTGGACGACGGATGGTTCACTCTGCCCATTCTCCTGACCTTCTTCTGTGGAGAGTGAGAAATAACTGATAAAGTAGATTCCCTGTTCTCTGTGTTCCCTAGTAATTAACAGTGGTCCACGATCAACCATGCAGACAGACAGAAAGACCTACCTGGGCAAACTAAGACAACTTATTCATGCCCATCAGAGGAATTTAATCTCATAGCAAATAAATCAATCTGGAGACATGCATTATTTTGAAAATACTACCACCAATAAATACATAGACCTTGCAGGCAGGAAGAGGTAAAGTCTCTATTTGGTGGAATCCACTTTTGCCAGGTCTGAGTTTTATATAAATGTGGGGAGTGGGTTGATCCTACTATTCACTTTTCTTCTCTATAGATATGCTCGAGTTAAATATGCTTCCAAAGACTGACTTTATGGCATGCTCTAACCTTGTACAAACATCTCACCATTTTCAGTAAGTTTATATTTGCTGTCTGAATAGGAAATATTAACGAGCTCAAGAAGATAACTTATGAGGAAAAAGTATTCTACCAAAATTGTAATTTGTCATATAAGATGATAACTAATTTTTTTTTTCTAAAAATCCTTTCTATCCTGAAAAGTCACAACAAAAAGTTTAAGTGTGTTTGGGCTGATTTTTCTCTGCAACTATTTGAAGCTGTAAATGACTTAACTCAGTAAAACTCCAAATGTAATTATCTTCTGTACTTAGCCTAGGGCTCTCCATATATCTCGCCATTGCTGCCTTGCATACAAAATAGGCTTTTCCATGGCTGGTACCAATATAATGTACAACATTGTTTTAATTTCCCCTCATCGGCTAACCTCTTGCCTACACTGAACCAGCCAGAGGAAGAAGCATCCGTGAGTCATCAGCCACTCAAAAGCATTCTGGAACTCAGTTGCATAAATGGGGTTTACAGGGTCAGGCTTTTGCAACTGTACATTTTAATAATCTCCATTTCTGACCCAATTTTTACTTTCAGAAACTAATTTTCGATTAATTACACCAAGAAGGAGATTACTGTTAAAATATGGAGGTGCCTCCACAAGTTCTACCCGTAAGTCGAACTTGCATTAAAAATGTCCCCAGCGCCCTCAAAGGCGATTCTTCCAGGAAAACTGCACACATTTACTCTTCAGTCATAAAACACATTCAACATAGCCCAGAGCATTTCCAAATATCGTGCTGCAGATAGAGTAAACATGCATATACCTTCTCTGCATTATAGATTAATATATATATGTGTGTGGACTTGAGATATACAGTGAACTCAATTCCTCTCAGTGAGAACAGAGAAAGGGGCCGAGGCCAAACAGGGACCCAATTCTCATACAGCTTCTACTGTGGCTTGAGAACACACATGTCTTTGTGTGTTCCCTCACCCATCTTCATCTCACACACTCATCCTCTGTCCATTCATGCCCGCGGTCTCTCCCTCTCCCTCCCTCGAGCTCCCACTTCAGTATCGTTAGCAATTTCTGGGGTGCACAACAACAGATGAGCAGAAAGTGTGAAGGACGGGCGATGATGGAGAGAGCAAGAGAGAGAAGGTGACAGAGAGACAAGAGGGGATGGACAGACAGAAAGAGAGGGAGGAAGGGAGAGGAAGAGAGGGAGGGAGGGAGGAAAGGCTGGGGTGGGGGCTGGGGAGGGGGGGGGTAACGGGCACTTGGCAGCACAGACGATGCTGCTCAGAATCGAGAAAGGTTTGAGCACCAGTCCCAAAGAAGTGCGCTGAGGCTGAGCCTCCCCCAGATAATAGTTTAGAAAAATAATAACAATGAAAGGCAATAATAAGATCAAACGGACAACAGGCTGTGGAGTCTGCATTCGAGAATGAGCACACAGGAAGTCATTACAGAACACTGCAGAGACGTGCGAGCCGAGGGATACTGAGGTAATATTAGAAATAAACGTGGCTTTAC